CGCGGCGCATGGTGGGGACTGCCAGCCGGAGGGAGGCGGTGCGAACGTGGAGGAGGCTCTGCCGGCTCCGGCCTTTCGGGAGAAGCCCGCAGAGCGGAGCGTGGGCCTCTGGGGGCTCCTTGGGTGCGATTTCTGTTGCTGAAATACCACCTTTAAGCTTTTTAGTCTTGACGGTTTTCTGGCGCTGTTATGCGCCGCCAGATGCACGTCATGGCCATGTGAGCAACAGGGTAAATGCTGGTGACAGTTATGTGAAGCCTGACAAGTAAAATATCGCGGTCACTTTGCCAACAGATGACAGTTTTTTTTCTTTTTTTGTTTTTTTCTTTTTTTTTTTTGGCATGTGCGTACAGTCCAAGGTTTTAAACTTCTACCCCAGCTGTGGCACTTCGGGAGCCCGTTTCGCAGGAGTGATTCCTCCAGATGGGGCTCAGTAGTGCATATAACCGCAAAATAATAGCGTGTTACGAAGGAGTTGATACTATTCGTAGTTCAGCTCATGGTTGTTCTAATTCCTGTGTTTTCAGTTTGTTGGTTTTTATTTGCAGTGATGACAGTCTCTTCGTGTACGATTGCATCAATGCGGAGAAGACCTTAGGAAATAAAGGGTGAGAAAATCTGTTTAGGCAATCTGCTGTTTTCATAGAGGGTGCATCTCCTCCAGGGGTTATGTGGCAGTGAAGATAATAAGAGTCATGGCATGACTCTTGATCAGGTGATGGCCAGGTGTTTTTTGCTAACCCTGATGGATATATAGGGTTTGGGTGGGATTTTCTGTTGTTTGTTTCTGTTTCATCCCAGAGGGGAGATTTTACAACTTTTTCTTTTTTAGAGAAACATCATATAATCAGTGATTTTGTATGACTCTTCTCTGTGAAGATGTTTATGGAAAAAATGCTTTATCTTTTATTAGACTATCTAATACAGATAGGAAAAAAAAACCCAACAACAACATAGACCAACATATAACTCCTCCTTCAGTTCTATTCTCTAAGTCATGAGATTTCAAAAACCAAAAAAGGCTTAGTTTAAATTCAACCTCTGGGCATTGCTTTACCTATAGCCAATTTTACTGTTTTCCCCTAAATTTGTATCATGATCTGCTGGCACAAACCCTGGCATGGCTGTTTGTTTGTTGTTCAACCTCTGGGCATTGCTTTACCTATAGCCAATTTTACTGTTTTCCCCTAAATTTGTATCATGAAGTTGTTTGTTGTTGGTTTTTTTTTTTTTTAAGCAGGTAATGATACGGTCTTAGACCTTATATCAGTTTCTTTTTCCTTGCATTAATGTTCACGTTGGCTCAACACTCTAAGCACAAATAAAATTTTTAGTGTTGTGCTTCATTCTTCATGCTCCTTCTTGGCAGTGTGAGAGCAACTTTCTCTTTGTATGGATTTCAGTAACTCTCAGGTTGTGAACTGTTGTCCCCCTTCTCTCCTTTAGACAGGGTGGAAAACCGACAGATAAGGGAAGTGATAACATCCTAGCTTTTGCCTTCTCCCCATCAGGAGATTATTTTGCCTTGACAGATGACAGCAAACGTCTGATTCTTTTCCACACAAAGCCCTCCTGGGAGTGTGTTAGCATCAGGTAAGGAACCAAGAAGGATGTTGCATGTCACTTTGTTATGGAGTTATGGCTGATTAATTTAGAGTTATAAAATAGTTGTACTTGGGATGCTGCTGTTAGTTATTGCTAAGCTTCTCTTTTTTTTTTTTCCCCCTCAAATTTAATGTTCTTGGTAATTCAAAAATATTTGACAAGAAGTGATGTGTGGTGTGCCTAAGAGTGGGAGTGCAGATGTTTATACCATTGGCTAGGTAAATGACAATCTCTTTGTATTCCAAAAGGCATTTTTAAGAGCTGAAACTTTACTCGCTCCTCGTGAACACTTAAGTTTGGGTCTGTAAGAGCAGTGTAGAGGAGTTTAGTGAGTGCACTGTCCATTTCTGTTGATTTGGGGGAGAATATGTTTTAGGGAGTTTGGGAACTGTCTTAAAAGTATCTCTTTTGAGATGGTGCCGACTGCTTCCCTTCCATGGTATGATCCTCTTGAGAAAACAGTCAGTAGCTGTCCACCAGAGGTCATCCAGTTACAAGTTTTCTGCTGTTGCTTGTGACAATTGCCTGTCAAAAAAAGAACCACGAAGGACTTCCTGAGAAAGTACCTCAGCGTGTGACATCTCTGCTTCTGATGGTCTCTGACAATTGTGTGGCCCAGGCTGCAAAACAAGGTGGTGTCTCTGTTAGCTTGGTTGTATGTGTAGGGTATATGATGCGCATTTCTTCGGGGGGTTAACCTGAGTTGTAGTGAGTAAGCAATCACTGACAAAACCAGAAATGGCAAATTCTGTTCATTCTATGTTCTGTCTCCTCTGCTGCACTGCCCTCTATGTCTCGCCCTTAATATGCCATTGGACGATTGATGTTTCAGTTTTCTTCTAAAAACTCAACTAGGGCCACGGCTGCGTTTTTTAGGAGCTTCCATACCTCCTATTCAGAAACTGGGAATGCAGGCAAAAGTGTCTCTGCATGAAAAAACAGAATGCTGAAGCTGAGCTATGTAACTTGTGTTGGTGTTTTGTGACAGGCTGTATAAAAGGTTTCACATGGTGCTAGTTTTTGTAGTCAGCTCACTTCAGACAAGGTGAACTTCTGAATCTCTTTGTGTTTAAGATCAAAGGCAGTACAACAAACTTGGAGCAATACTTGTTCTTGTTGGCAAGGTATCTTGAAACTGTGCTGCTTGCACCTGCAGTGTGTGAGTAGGCATTCTTGTCCTATACGATTTTTTATTGTTACAGTGTTCCTTTAAACAGTCACTAAAAAAAGGATTGGTTTCTGTCTTCCTACCTGAATTATGGTGTGTTGTTCTTTTGCCTCCTGATGGTCACTGAGTTTCAGAGTAAGTGAACAGAAATGTCCATTCAGTATGATCCCCACTGTGCACAGTCTTACGTTAACACATGGCATACAGAGGGGTTTGGAAAAGGGGTGTTATGAGAAGAATAGCCATAATAACAGTAGCTGTTAACTTGCGGAAGCGTTCTTTAGACTGAGCGATGAAACATTCTTCAAAACTTGTTTTCTGACAAATGCAGTTCTTAACATTTATCTGAAAAGTTATAAGAAAAGCATTACCTGCTACATTGGCAACTGGAGCTATAGGATACTGGCAGATGAAAAGGGAAGGTCAGAGTTCAACTTCAGGGCTTTGCCTGGACAAGGTACCCTGAGACTGTGTCTCTCTGACTCCGGATGCGAGGAGGAAGAGTTTTTGAGGTTCACAAGGAAGGAATTCTGTTTACACTAAGAACTGGCAACTGGGGAAATGGTTTCAACAGTTTTTTGATATCCTTGCTGCGAATGACTTTTACTAGGAGAACTCCTACCTTGCCTTCTCTTTTCCATGTTTGTTTAAGTTACATTTTTAAGAGAGATTTTGTCCGGTCTCCTGGTCTGTTTAACTGGGACTGAATCCAGACTTGCTGAAGGTGCCATTCAGAGCTGTTCAAATTGTGCCATTTTCTTTTTCAGGTGTGTGACCAGGAGGTGCACTTCCCTGGTTATTACAGCTGCCGAGGATAAGATTCTAGTGGCAGACAAGTCTGGTGATGTCTATTCTTACTCCATAACAGAACCCCAGGCAGAAGGAAAACTTGAGCTGGGTCACTTGTCTCTGCTATTGGATCCTGCTTCCCTTCAGGTCTTTCACTGTTGCTCGTGTCCCAGATTTGGGAGCTCGTTTTTATAAAAACAAAGTATGTGGTCTGGACTTCTCGCTGCTGAATTTGTGTCTGCAGAGTTTGGTGAAGAAACAAGCTTGCCAGAGGGTTATCTCTTCTGGGAGGGTGAGTGTTCAAAAAGTCTTCATGTTACAGTCACAGAAGACTTGGTAATGGAACATATATGGGAATTCACCCAGTCTGTCATGTCAGTGGAACTCCTCAGTGTGAAGTTTCTTTCTTTTTAAGACACAATGGGACTTCTGCTGTACTGTTGGGGCTCATTGGCTTTCACTGGACCCTAGTAGTCAGCGAGAAAGTTACTGTCAAAGATTTATTCTTCCATTATTGGTGGAAAAATGTGGCTTAATGCTTTCACCTGCTCTTCAGAGCCAGGAGAAACAGCTACTTTATTGGTTGCCTTTTTTTCTCACGGTTAGGAAGAATTAAATTAAAACAAGCATTGAACTATGGAGCTCTAAAACTCTCCCTTTACTGACAGGCGCTGAGTCCTGATGACCAGTATATCCTAACTGCAGACAGAGATGAGAAGATCAGAGTCAGCTTGGCAAAGGCTCCTTACAGTATCGTATCCTTCTGTCTGGGACACAGAGAGTAAGTTTGTTGCATGCAGAAGTTACCGTGTACGGCTCTTCACTGTGCCTCAATGGCTGAAATGATTGTCTCCTCAAATCATATTAAACAACAGCTAGGTCTGTGTTTAGAATCGTGGAATGGCTTGGATTGGAAGGGACCTTTAAAAGTCATCTAGTCCAACCCCTCTACAATGAGCAGGGACATCTTCAACTAGATCAAGTTGCTCAGAGCTCTGTCCAACCTGGCCTTGAACACTTCCAGGGATGGGGCATCTACAACTCTCTGGGCAACCCCTTCCCATCCTGTCTCACCCTCCTGAAGTGAAGGTGCTTCTAGTTGCAGTCATCTGTAGGCTGTAAGGCAGCAGAGCAACCTGCTAGGGCTGTACTGATGTGATTCAGACATGCTCTGACTTAATAGAAGGCCAGCAGTCCTTTCAGAATGGGAATAAGGGCTGTCTTCTAGCCAGTTTGGCACGACATCCTTCTTAGCCTACAGGATGGACTGTACTTTCCCTTTTCTTCTCAGCAGTTCTTTCCCATGAAGAAGACTTGAATAGTAAATAGACTTCTAAAAGACTTCTCCCTCCACATTTTGCTGCTCAAAAAGTCTGTCAATTTTGGTATTTTCAAAGTCTCTTGGGTTTGCCTCCCATCTCTACAGGGTTTTGTGGGCTTTTGGAGGTTTTCTGTTGTTGATTGTTAGGGTTTTTTAGTAAGGAAGAGGGTTTTTTTGTGGCCACTGCTGCCTTTTGAAGTTAACAGTGACAAGATAGCAGAAAAGACATGACCCTGCCTAGGGGTCAGAGAACACCTGTAACTCTGCTTGTCTGGCCGCTGAGTTACCTGGGGATAACAACACCCTTCCAGGCATGTTATTCCATAAGATGATGCAACGTGGTGCAGTCAGCTCACTGTATCAGGAACGAGTTAAAGGTAGGTGGTGTTGATGCCGAATTTGCTTTAAGTGGCTTCGGTGTGACCGAGGAACCTGGGGTGCTGGCAACAATCTAAACTTGCCCACCAATGTGTTTTAATGGAGCCATTACGTTCACATTAATTTGGAGAGTCATTCTGATTTTAATAATGTAATTGGGTAGTCTAACCTGTGTAGGATTGGCATAGTATAAAAGCGAGAGACTAGTCTTGTTAAAGATCTAAGTAGTCTTTGATCAGGTTGGTTTCTATGGCATATTTACAGAGCCATGTCCGATGTTTCCACCTACTGTAAACTCAGTTTCACTTTTTTAATGAGCAGAACCTGATGGCCAGAAAGACACTTTCAAACGCGGGATGTTGTGTCTGCACAGAGAGTTTGTAAGTGGCCATAGAGTGGAAAGGCACTTAGTGTAAATTAATTGAAATATATTTAAAAATTCACTGTTTAAATTAGTAATGAATAAGGAAAAGATTGTATAAAGCAGGTACAATTGTTGTCTTGTTTCACGCACCTGGATTTTCTTCTTTCAGCGGGATGCATGGTGACTCTGGCTGGGTCTGTTATGCCTGCATGTGCACCTGCCATTACTGCTTGGGCATAAAGTTTGTATTACAGTGACCAGATCTCTTCCTTCTATTTATTTTTTTCCCTCTTCTTTTTTTAATGGCCTTAAAATGATGCCTGTTTTCAAAAGCAAGACTGTCCTACGCTGGTAATGTTCTGCCTAGGTCACTACATTTCAAGTTGCTGAGCTCTGAGATAATAACAAACTCCAAAAGTTCACGTCCTCATTACTCGGCAAAGACAAGTCATGGTACACGTAGCAGTATTACGTACTTCCGAAAAGCAAGGTTTCTAGCTGAATGTAGGGCACTGATGGTAAATTTGGTAAACATTGCTTTTGAGTGATCCCCAGCTGTGATGGGAGACGCGGTGCTCTGAAAGCTGGGTCAGCGTTGTTGTGTTTTAAAACACACCCGTTGATTTATATTTTTAATGTGCATCACGAGTTGAGAAGGGGGAACGTGGTATCCGAATAAATCTGCCTCCATTGCCTTTTTTGGGTCTAACTGTCAGTGTTCTCAGTCGGGAGGAAGTCAGAGTGCAGGTGGGGAAATATTTTTTTTCTTTTAAGAAGAAACTCAGTAGTTTGTGTAGTATATATGCTAAGTACGGTAGGCCTATTTTTTCTTCCTCCTAATTGGCTTGATGTGGGGAATCTGTTTGTTTATTATAAGGTTCTCTTTAAAACTAGTGTTTTCTCTTACTGTGTGTGTTTAAAGACCGGAGTGTCATGCAGGAGAGTTCAACTTTTCATTACTTTCCCTTTAGGTTTGTAAGCAAAATATTTGTAATACCCAACTATCCTGATCTGCTGTTGTCAGCTTCTGGGGTATGTATTGCAATTTCTTCGTAAAAGTGTTTTTCTTGAAAATTTAGGCTTTAAAACCATTGTTTGCACTAAGTTGGAATAATCTCTCACAGTTTCCAGCATGCCCTCTGTCCCTCCTTCCCCCCCTCTTTCTCAGCTTTCTATTCAGTGTTCAGCCATTCCATTGCTAGCTCGTTTAAGAGCTATTTACTGTGTTTATAGCAAGGCTAGCTTCTTATTAAGATCTTTGGGATGGAGAAATCACAAAGTCCTCAGTATTTCTTCATCATTAACTCTTGCTTTGCAGCACAGACAAACTTAAACCATTGGACTATTAAACAACTTTGAAGCAAATGGGTATTATGCCAGCCTACCATGATAATGAGTGTCTGGAGAATGACTCATCTTAGAATCATAGATTTTTATTATTTTTAGAGCTTTTAAGATGAGAAAACTGTTCCTTATACACCCTTCCACTTGATTTCCCCTGTGAGACTTGTTCTGAATTATGTCCTTGTCTGTGTATCCTCGTGTTACGTCCAGCGCATGTTGTGTGGGCATAGCAGTGCAGTGCTGCACGATGCTTGGATGAGGACTGAAGTGAGTGTTCCCTCCTTTCCCTCCCCCCAGGCCTTTTCTTAAATTGATGACATCCTGCTGCTGTGCCAGACCTGTACAGAGTGAATGGATGGAATTGGTCTAAAAGAACGGAAACTATATTCTTTGTTTCCCAGACTACCAGAACCGCATAGGAAACAAATAATGTGTCTGGGAAGATAGGAAGATCATGATAATTCTTAGCATTTGCTTTCAGCTGCTGCACTTGCTTCCCTAAGGCTCTTGTCTCTTGTTCCTCTAAATCTTTAAGCAACTCTAGTGTTAATGCTGCGTATGTCTGTACTTCATTCTTAGCAAATGCTCTTTGATGACTCTGTTTTTCCAGAGCCGTGTTTTAGCTTCTCTCCAGGAGGTTACTAAATCAAATGAGAATTTGGGCTATAAGGAGAGTAGGGGCAGGAAAGGGCAACCTGTAGGAATCGCCATTAAAATGCTGAGCACTTGTATTGCTGGGCTATTTGACTGGGCTTGAAATGCACTCCTCCAGCTACCCAGTTTCCACTTCAAAAGGAGAATTAAAGTTAGCATGATTGAGTAATTTAGAATCAAGGGGGAAAATTATGTTAATTAAAATGCTTTATCTGCAATTTGAGATGTTAACTAAGTGACTATTTAGCAGCTTCTGTGGGAAGCCCTTCAGGGAAATAGGATTTAGCTGAGTGGCCTCTCTGCCTGAGGTACTGTTAGTAATTGACTTCTGTCCGCTTCCATCTGTCCAGGACTCAACTCTGAGACTTTGGGAGTACAAAAGCGGGGAAGAAGTGTGCTGCTGTCATCTGAGCAACATCAGTGGGTCTGAGGCAACCAAAACTGACCAGGTATGCCCATGTGTCTTAGTGCTTTTCCTACCCTTAACAATCCTTGTGACTCCCAGATGTGTTTGTTGTATTTTGTTCGGAGGGCTTCCTTTTCCTCCGTGGGTTTGGAAGTTGTGGGAGACCTGGAGACTGTTAGAAAAGCCTGGGAGTTCAGAAAAGCAAAGAAGTCCCTGAGTCCCATTTCTGTGTCTTGTGTGCAGCTTTAAGAAGTGGCAAGCAGTGGTCAAAAGAAAGTGTAATTCTTCCCAAATACAAGTTCTGCACACTGGACAAAGCCTTTCCTTGCTCATTTTTCCAAAACTGTAAATGCCTTAGTCTCTTAGCCAGAAAATATCCTGTAACACTGGAAAGATCTAAAAATGCGCTTGTTTTTTTAAAAATACTTAAATTGCAACTTGAAATTCTGTCTGAGCAAAAAGCAGCTTTGTAATGTTTGTAACCAGTCGCCTGCAATAGTACTGCCCTGCGGAGTCAAAGCTCTGGGCTTTTCCCTTTGGGTTGCTCTGGAGCTGCCTGGTGCCCCAAATTAAAATGTACCAGTGCAGTATGAAAACTGACTACCCCAGGAGCTTTCCTTCTCCTGCAGCCTGCGCGTGAGTGGTGCGATACGTACGTGACTGGGGTGGTGCTGTGATTTGGGGCGCTAATCCGATGCGAGCAGTGGTTCTGGTGGTGCTTGATCTCTGGGTTGGTTCTCTCTTGTCACGTGAATTGGCATACGACCCTCTTAGCAATGAAATGGCACTTGCTCTCGTCCCTGCTGAGGAGATCCTGTTATGCCAGCTGCTGATCTGTTGGATCACTTAAGAGTAGTTTATCTTACCACCCATCTTTGTTCTTTGTGTTGGAGTGATAACGTGCAACTTTGTGTCTGTGCATAAGCCTGCCAGGGTAGCTGCTTGCATCACGGTATTCAGAGCTTAGATTCTGGAAATCCTGGGTTTGGCCTAGAGTTCCTGGTAGCAGGAATTCAGGGTATGGACAATTGAACCTGCTCCTGAGCTTGAGAATAAAGCACACCTGAGCCAGAGACCTCTCATACACGTTCACAAGGTCTCTGGTTTGTTTCAGGTTGCGTCTAGTGCTTGAAATCTTTGAAGCAGCTACTGCTGTTTTTTCACAAGTGAAAAACGAGGGTACCACAGTAGGTGACAAGCCCATCTGGCTGGTATCTACTTAGAGTCTGGGTGAGAGGGATTTGAGTGAGGAAGGGAGAGGCAAACCTACAAAATTACTTTGCTGCACGTAGCCTTCTGGAAATCAGTTGAGTTTCAAAGCCGAAGTGTTTCATCTTTGTGTTCAGAAGTAGCTAATGAGAGTGCTTTGTTGACACAACGTGGTGTGATAGCCATCGAATCCATGTCTTGCAAGGCGTTTCTTTTGGAGGGAAGAATGGTTTTATTTTAAAATACTTTGCCTTTTAGCTTTATTGGATCATTGAGGACTACTAACCTGTTAGCTGTGAGGTGGGGAATCCTATCATTAACTTTTAAAATTCTTCTTGTTGCTTGATCTGGCTTAGTATTTAGTAATACAGCTTGCATGTAAATTAGTGGAGCTTGATCTCCCACTGAATCTTAACTCTGCTGCTCACAAACATATTAAAAAATAATATTAAGCTATATAATAAAACTTGAACATCTTATTGGATAATCTAACAAATGTTAGAGGAGAAAACTTGTTTGCTGCAAGCAGGAACTGAGTTAAAAAATAAACTCTAACTCCCTTAGAGTGTTTTTGAATGCTTTTGGATGTAGTTTAGTAATACTTTGCTTGTCTTCTAACACACCTGATATTCCCTTCCGTAGGATACTCTTCACAATGATGGAGTCTCTCCATAGAAATTTGGGGTGCCCTTTGGCTGTTTGAGGAGTATCTGTTTAGCTTCTTTACCTCAGTATGACTAAGCAGTGACAGAAAGGGAAACGCCACAAACTGTGGGTTAATAAATATAACACAGCGGTTAATAAACTGTATTCCTGTAGTGTTTTGCAGTTCTACCCACTGGCGTTTGTGTCTCCTGATGGTGGCCCAGAAGCCTTAGGCTGGCCTGTTCCTTGAATCTCTGAAACTCTGCTTCCTGCACACTGCTAGAGGAGTTTTAAAATCTGTCTTCGATGACACCATGTCCTGCTTTATCCCCAGCTGGCAACTAAGCACCACCCAGCCAGTTGCTCCTTCCCCCTGCTCTGCAGGGTGGGATGGGGGAGAGAATCATGGAAAGAATACCTTGTGGGATGAGAGAAGAACGGCTTAATAGGATAGCAAAGGGAGAGGAAATAGTAGTAATAATAATTATTGTAATGATAAGGGAATATACAAAAACAAATGATGCACAATGCAACAATTGCTCACCACCCAGAGATCAATAGCCCATCTCTGAGCAGCGATCCCCAGCCAACTCCCCCTGCTTATATACTGAGCATGATGTTTTGTGGCATGAAATGTCCCTTTGGGCAGTTTGGTTCAGCTCTCCCACCTGCGTCTCCTCCCAGCTTCTTGTAGAGAAGCAGCTGGGAACAGAAGTGCAGTATCAGAAACTGAAATAGTCCTTGGTCTAATCTTCTGTGAAGAATATTAACTCTGTCCTCACTAAAACCAGCACAAAGCATTATCTGGCAACAACTAAAACATCCCTGCGTTATCAACGTTCTTCTCAGCACAAACCCAAAACACAGCCCCGTATTTGCTACTGTGAAGACAATTAGCTCCATCCCAGCCAAAACCAGCACACATTAAATTTGCACAGTGCTTGAGGGGTGCAGAAGACTCGTTTGACTTCCAGAGTTTATATGTACTTGGAAAAGTGATCAGGCAGTGTCCCGGCGATGACAGACGGATAAATGACAGATGTAACCTTAATGCTGTGCGTTGCCACCTTTGTGCTGTACTGCTACAGAGCTGTCAATATGTGCTTCTGTCAGAAGAGCTCTACAGTGTTTAGAGCCTGTACGGTGACTGTTAATTACTGCATTATATGAAATATCTAATAGTCTGCAGGCTGCCTTCCAGGCAAGATTATCCAAATAGAAACAATCTCTCAGAAGAATTGCTGTATCCACTGCCAACAGGACCAAAAGTGAAAGGAGGCTTGTGTATTGCTGGCACTGTAGTGCTAGAAATGCCAGAGGTTATGCCTGGTGGTAGTGTTCAGTCATCATGTGCATCCAGGTGTATCAAAGATCATCTTCAGAACCTACTGTGACATCCATAGTCTGAATTCAAGGGAACAGTCTCGAGTCAGCACTTTGTAGGTTGTGACTAGCACGCTGTCTGCAGATGACTGCGGCAACCCAAGATCAGGTGGGGGTGTCAGTGTTTCTTTTCTCTCATGTTGCATTCCGTTTTTACCATCGATAACGGCTGAATGCACTGGAGCTTGAGACACAACTTGAAGCACAGCAATAATGGAATCATCAGTAATGGTAGGTCATGTGAACACATAAGTGTGGGCTTATTTTGCTTGGCAAAATGACTTTTTGGGAACGTAAGACTGGTTTTGAGCAATGTAGCATTATTTTCAGCTGATGGGTTGCAGATCCCCAGTTTGTTTTCCCACTAGAATGGGAGTTAATTCTCTAATTCTGTAGTGCTATGTAAATATTTTTCCTGCTTTGGGGCTTTCACCTCATCTGATCCTCTTGACAGCAGAAGCTTGTTTAAAGTCCAGAACATGAATTGCACAACTCTACCCCAGGGCTCCAGTACGTTAATTTTTCATAGGGCCACCTCTTCTTGCAGATGACATCAAAAAGTTAAGGTGTTGGCAGGCTGATAACAGTGTCATATAAATGCTCAATAAGTTAGAGAGTATCAAGTGAACATCTGTTTATCACGGACTGCTCTTGTAGCTCTTCTTTCAGTTAACTTATTTCATAGTCTTGTCCTTGAACAAGATACTACCCTGGGGCTTGCCTTCACTTTGCTGATTGTTGACTTACCCACAGGCGGAAAGGAAAGAGCTTGCAAAGATGTGTCATCTCTGTCCAGCTGTGAATAACACTTGGCTCAAATAAAGAAAAGCCTTCCCCCGCCCCCCAGCCCCCAGCCAGTGAGGGTGGGGGAGAACTGCTGCACACTTCAAATTCACAGAAGCCTTTGTCTCTCTGACAAAGCGCACTCAGCTGTGTAGGTGGGCACTTCCCATTGTAGGTGGGCACTTCCCATCACTGCACTTGCTCTGCATGGTTGTCATGAGACAGGCGGAGAGGCAGACCTATTTTTTAGACATAAATATCACAGGTTTGTTTTTTTTTTTTAATATGTATAATATCTTGGCTTGTTCCCTTAAATGTCTGAAGAACCCACTGGTGGTTTACAATAGGAGCTGTCAGTTCTACTCTAAAGCTGCGTAGTAAATGGCTCCATACTGCAATAACTATGTTTAGATGTGTCAGCTGCGGAGAACCTCTCTGATTCAGCCCACTCATCTTACCCAGTATGTGGATCTGTAAGCATTTCTTAACATCTGTGTTAAACAGTGGTCCTGGGTCCCAGTGCTAAATGTGGACTAACAGCTCAGTATTTCTGCAGAGCAGCGAGAGCTTAGTCCCATCTGTTCCCAAGAGCTTTGAAACATATCCATCCTTTGGATAATTTTTTTTTATGAATTGCTCCTTTTCCACCCAAGTAGCCAATTGCTGACTAAAAAGTGTGTTCATGCCATTGTTCTTCCTTCCCCACATGATTTTTTTTTTTTTTTTTTTGTTCTCATATGCTGGAGATTGACTGTGTAACTCTGGCTTTCAGCTATGTTTATGCCATTTACTAACTTTTCCCGCAGTTGATTTATCTTTCAGTAGTTGCTTCATGTACTGTTGACAAAACAGTTAGCTTCTTGTATTAAACTTGCTGACTTGCATGTTTGGAAGCTGTACAGCTTGTTTTGCTTTCCTACACGAGTTGCAAAATTCTGAAACCAGCACCCTGACGATGCCTATCCATCAGCTGATAGCTCAAAGGGTAAAATCCTGCGGTTACTCCTAAATTCAGCTTAAGCTGGTGAACCAGCAGGTCTGGTTAGTGACCAGTGTCATGTTAGGGCAAGAGGTGAAGGCTGGAAAGGTGGCAAAAGGAAAGAGGTCTTGATGCATCTGAACTCTGCCAGCAGAGTGTCAAAGAAAATGTATTTTCCCTGCCCTAAAGGGAATAACTCACTACTTCGCTAGTATGAAGGATTTATTAACCAGAAGTGCTGGCCTTATCGCTGCTTATAAAATATACTTGAGAACCAGCCTTTTGCCTCTGCAGTTTCGTCTTTCACGTTATATAACAGATACTTTTGAAAAAGCACCCTGGGGCATCTTCTTGCAGTTTTTCCGTTCCTCCCAAGTTCTTGCTTCCCACTCAGAGAGCCTCAGATCAGTTGTTATGTTATTTCAAGTAGTATGGTTTGTGAAGCAAAGGCATTTCTCTGATTCTCTCCCACATAAAAACTATGTAGCTTCTAAATTAGGGGTGTGGTGTGGGATTTTGTTGTTGTTGGGTATGGAATTTTTTGGGGGTGACTGGTGTAGTTTTTAGTTAAGGTGTTAGTTTTTTTCTAATGAGGAAAACAGCCTCAGGCAGTCTTGCCTTGTTCTGCAGAACACTTTTTCTGTTAAGCAGTATGGCTTCACCCAGGCAGAGGATGAAAACAGAGACAGTGAAGCAAGGACATTAGCTATGCATCACTCTCTTCCTTTTCCAACGAACACAGCAGCAGCTAATGGCTGGTGTTTATAATCTCTAAGCAGCTCCTGTGATATCCTGGCTGTGCAGGCTGCAATTGTTGATGTTTTTGCCATTGGCATTGCCGGAGAGAGTGTTTGAAGGTGGTGTACTTTCCTTCACCTGTTAGTTTGTCTGTTAAGAGCAGTTCACTCAAACCTTCACATTTGATCTCTGTTTGGATGACTGTGAAGGGAGAAGTGTGAAAAACATCATAAAACAGCAAACACATGACTGCAGTTTAAATGTAATTATGTTGCTTAACTTGATGTAAATTAAGACATCTGCTAAATTTTAAAGGCTAAGGCATGAAATGGAATGTGAATTTTCTGCCCATAAATAGTCTTAACTTATGAGGTTGTTTCTTTTTCTTTTCCTAATAGAAATACACTGTGTCAAGAATAAGCTACTGCTGTCAGGGTGGTTTTGTTGCAGTTCTCTGTGACTGGTAAGAATAAATAATGGCTAAAATCATCACCGCTCCTGCCAAGGCAAGAGCAGCTTTCCCTTGCTGGCTGTCCTAACTTTCCCCTGGCCTCTCAGTAGTGTGGATCTCCAAGTGTCCCAGGCTTGCAGGGAGCCCGAGTCCGTATGGTACCTGGTTTGAGTGCAGAGGTGAGTGTGAGGGTTACCCGGCATAGTTAAGTTTTTTGCAGAATTTGTGATGCCTTTCCCTCACGGGAAGAAGCATGAGGATAGGATGTGAGAGCTCTGCTTGATGCTCAGGATCTCTCCCTAAGTTTGCTGCACCTGACCTGTGTGTTTTGGGTCACGTTTTGCTCCGGGTGCTGTGGTGACAGAGCGGCCAAACTTCTGTTACTCAGTTCTGCTCTTCTTAATGGGTTCCACTGTTCTGTTTAAAAGTGCAGCATTTCTTCAGTTTAAAACTGTGAGGAGGCTATGCTGAGTTTTGGGTTCAAATGCAGGTGTTTGCGTAAGGAGAGAGTGCTTGGGAGCTGAAGGACCCCAGCACTGAGGAACCTTAGAAATCCGACTAGCAGGCGAATGTCTTGTGGGGATGGACAAGCCCCCTTCCCCTCTCTTCCCAAGCCTGCCAAGGAACCTGTTCTTCCTGACCAAAGCTTGCCAACAGGAAAGGGAGAGACTTCCAGAGCTGCCTGTACAGTGAAATCTGCAGTCTGTCCCCTCGGTGGGCTTGCTCTTTGCCAGAGCAAGGAGCCTTAGCTGCTTCCTGTCACACCTTCTGCATGGGCACCCAAACTGGCCCTGGAAGGGGAAGCCGTCTTAGCCAGGGGCTGTGCCTGTGTCACTTAGCCCAGGGGCCGGGCCGTGCTCTGTGTCAGGCTTTTATTTCCAGCTCCACAGCCCAACGTTTCTGAGCAGTGCTGCCGTGCAGACCTGGTGGGCCACTTGGGAGGGAGCTGAGGTGTCCTGCCTGGCAGGCTGGGGACCTGTCCCAGGGAGGTTAGGAAGCTCTGCATATAGAGGCTGGGGCTGTTGGAGGAGAGAGTGCTGAGGGGAGAGGTCCTGTTCTTCAGCCCTGTCAAGGTTTCCTGTTGCTCTCATTCCCTCCTCCCTTCCCCCATAAGTAACTCCTTTCCTGTTCTGTTTTGACTGGTGCTCAGCTGTGTATTCCTTCAAGTGAAGCCCTGTAGGCCGGTGCGCTGTGATGCAACACTCTTACATAAAATCCTTAGTAACCCATATGAAATTCCCTTTACTACATTTCCTTTTAAAGAAAAGGCAGTTTTGACTGCTTTTTCTTTCATTTAACACTTGAAAAGCCATTTGACGTGTTAGGTGTTTACAGCTTCTGCCTTGGATCATGTAAACAAACTGCACTTGAAGTGCTAGGATATCTTTTGCAATTCCTAATGACTTTGCTTTGGCTCCGGAATTAGAGTGGGTGGGTGTAGTTTGCTGTACAAGTGATGGCTGTAGGTGGATTTGCTAATAACGGTAATTAAGTTTTTCCTCTCAAAAGTCTTCCCACAGTCTACATCTTTCAGCTTGATGCTGTTGCCCAGCAGCTAGATTACAGACAGCAAATCTCTTTGAAACATAAAGGTTGGGACATTGCGCTTGACGAAACGGGAGATCTGTGGATTTTGCAGGAAGACAGTGAAGCTCCTCTTCAGTTGTACAGACCATGTGATGGACAGTGGAAGGTAGATACTTGTGTTATGCTGACATCCCAAATGTTTTGTGTTGTCTTGAGGCCATAACAAAAGTGGAGTAAACCTCATTGCAGCCTTCCAGTACCTGGGGGGGCCTACAGGAAAGCAGGGGGGGACACTTCTTACAAGGGCCTGTAGTGACAGGACAAGGGGTAACGGGTTTAAATTGAAATTGGGGAGGTTTAGAGTGGGTATCAGGAAGAAGTTCTTCCCGGAGAGGGTAGTGAGGCACTGGAACAGGTTGCCCAGAGAAGCTGTGGATGCCCCATCCCTGGAAGTGTTCAAGGCCAGGCTGGATGAGGCTTTGAGCCACCTGGTCTAGTGGAAGGTGTCCCCGCCCATGGCAGGGGGGGTGGAACTAGATGGTCTTTAAGGGCCCTTCCAACCCAAATCGTTCTGTGTTCCATGAAAGCTAAATGGCACACTTCTCTGTCTTGAGACTGAATTGCCTGTACTTTCTGTGTGCTACACTTGATTATTTGGAGAAAAAAAAAAACAAAACAAAACAACAAAATCCCTTTGTGGTTTGCTCAGGAATGCTTTCCACACAGCCTTCCCTGTGCCTGCCACTGAGGGATCCTTCAGGGAACAAGGCATTCTGGGAGCATTAAGGAGAGTTTTTTCCACTGAGAACAGGGAGTCAAATTTGAGGGATATGCTATTGAGTTCTCTGTAATAACCTATTAAACAATGGGAAACTCGCTTACTATCCTTGTAAGTCGCCAGCTAATTAGGTTATGGTTATGAAGTGGTTTTAAATGAAACTTCTAGCTATGTTCTTTGACCCTTATGTGTTCTTTGTGATATTCCTTTTCCTCACAGATTAGAAACTGGGAATCCATTTTCTTTTCCTTCATCTGCAAAGCTTCCCCAGCAGGACATGTGATCTCAGGCCAGGTTTCTATAGCATTCCTGGAAAGAAAGGAGCCTAAAAGAGATCATGGAGGACTTCCACTTGCTCTCCTTTCACTGTACTTGCCTGAGAGCCGTTGCGTTTTTCAGTGTGCTGTGAAACATGAGATTGCATGGTATTTTGGGAATAATAAACGTTCCTTCTTTTCCCAGGCTGTAACTGATGATAAAGGATTACAGAAGATGTCAAAATATCTTCAAGACAACTGGACAGTGTTTGAAGGTGAGAAATTTGGACCCAAGGCCCAGGAAATGCAATTTTTACAGCTGAAGCATAAGATTTAGGCATTTTGATCAGTTCAGCTGGCTATTGAAGTTGCTTAATTTTTCAGTTTTCTCAGTTTCAGCACTTCATCTCTATGGAAGTTACTGTAAATCATGAACTGTGCTCAGGTTACTGTTACCACAAGATGATGCAGGTATTTAGGTCTGAACTGTAGTATTACAACTGTTTTACATAGGCACCTTATCGCAGGGATGTGTCTAAACACCCTGTGACCAAGCTGCTGGAGTCTGTCTTACCGCTGTCATATCAAATATGTTGTTTGTCATCTTGTCTCTTACCTGGGTGTGACACTTGTCAGAAGTACAGTGGAGATAGTACGAATGGAACAGCCGTGGGAGGAGCAGCTTCGCTGTAAAGATGGACTGTTTGGGTCCACCTTGGCAAGGCAGATTATGTGGAGCTTGCTGTGGCTGGAGCGTGTGACCCTGGATGGTATCAGCAAGGGTGAAATTGATTGGTATCAGGGTTGGTTCATTTTCATTATCAGGATTAGGTTCAACAAGGCCAGGTGCTGGGTCCTGCACCTGAGTCACAACAACCCTCTGCAACACTACAGGCCTGGGGAGGAGTGGCTAGAAAGCTGCCTGGCAGAAACACACCTGGTGTCAACAGCGACTGAACATGAGCCAGCAGTGTGCCCAGGTGGGCAGGAAGGCCAATGGCATCAGGAACAGTGTGGCCAGCAGGACTAGGGAAGTGATGGTCCCCCTGTACTCGGCACTGGTGAGGCTGCACCTCAAGTTCTGTGTTCAGTGTTGGGCCCCTCACTGCAAGAAGGACAGAGATGCTGGAGTGTGTCCAGCGAAGGGCAAACGAGCTGGGGAAGGGGCTGGAGCACAAGTGCTGTGAGGAGCAGCTGAGGGAACTGGGGGTGTTTAGCATGGAGAAGAGGAGGCTCAGGGAAGACCTTATCGCTCTCTACAACTGCCCGAAAGGAGGTTGTAGCCAGGTGGGTGTCCATCTCTTGTCCCAGGTAACTATCAATAGGATAAGAGGAAATGGCCTCAAGTTGCACCAGGGGAGGTTGAGATTGGATATTAGGAAAAATTTCTTCACCAAAACAGTTGTCAGGCATTGGAACAGGCTGCCTGGGGGAGGGATTCAATCACCCTCCCGTGGATGTATTTAAAAGATGCGCAGATGAAGTGCTGAGGGCTGTGGTTTAGTGGTGGATGTGACAGTGTTAGCGGTTGGACTTGATGATCTTAAAGGTCTTTTCCAGCCTAAAGCATTCTGTGATTCTATGAATTTGTTCATGACTTCTGCCCCACACAGAAAAATAACACATGATTCACTAGTTCAGAAGCACCCTATGTTTCCAGGATTTTTGGTATTTAAAAAACACCCAACTTTACTCGGAAGCTGAAATTGTGGCGGTGGTGGCTGCAGGGCAAAGAAGGGCTGTAGCACGTGCTAGTGGATGTCTCATTATCTATTGAGAGTTGATTAATTGAAATTTCTTTCCCGTACCTTGCCTGGAGACTCGGAACCTTCCTTAAAAGAGGTGTTACAGTCCCCACCGGTCTTTTGGTCTGTTCTTGGTGGCCATACGTGAAGATGGAAAAGTTGCAGAAATGTGCAGTCCGCTGTAAAGTCTCCTTCATGTCTGCTTTCGGATGGTTTAGGGTGTAGCTGTCGCTACGTTGGTCATCACGTTGTCATGAAGTTGGTACAGTCTTAGAAATCTAAGAGGAAGTCAGGTACGTGTTTGGGAGAAAAGTGTTTGCGTGTAGAAGCTGCAGACTTGATAGTTACAGCCAGGTAGATAATTAGAAGTGTGAGGTCTGAGTGAAAATGAGCAACAGGGAAGTAAAAAGAGCAGGCAGGGGAAGAGGTTCTGAGCATAATTAGCCAGTGTAGCAAATTACTGTGATACACGGTAGCCGGCTGTATCTGCAGCTGGGAAAGGAGGACTGCTCAGATGATAGGGTCTATTATTGTTAATTAGTAAGGGTAGGCTCACTTGATGAGCACTTATTCCAGTGCATAATTAGTGCTTGAAAAGATAGTTACTTCTTTTTTTGAAAGGTGCTCATTATATTGTTTAAACCCAGTCTTAATGCCTGCATATTGTCCTTTTACAAACCCGTTTCACCTGATGGCTGATTCCGTAGGATTTCAGATGCGTAGAGCAGCCTTGCAGTACGCATTGCATGTTTGATGTTCTGTTCTAACTGATCCCAGAAGAAGGTGGAGCAAGATTTAGTGCAGACTGGTGAAGTAGAGAGTAGCATGGGTGTTCAAACAGGCAGCACACAACTTCTCCCAAGGCCAAAGGCCAATGGATCAGTTACTGTGGGAGCGCAAGACCCTTGAAAAGAACAGCATGCGCTTCACTGAGTAACAGCAAGGGAAAACTGCTTTGTTTGTCTTCCAAGGAACAAGGGGAATGCCGTACGTACGATACTGTGGAGTAGCACACCAGCTTCAGGGGCAAACCCTAGCAAATACTGGATTTTCTTGTGTTTGCCCTTTAAGGAGAATTTTTGGAGGTGGGAAAAGGTGGGAAAGCAAAGTAGAGGTTACTGGCTTTGTCAGGTACCACACCACCTTTAAAAATGTGGACCTAGCTAGCTCCTAGTCTCGTTCTGTATTCCAAGGGGAGACAAGTCGGCTAAGCACAGCTGGGGAGCCTGCGTCCTTCGCAGTGCTTTGCTCTTGGGGAACAGCTCCAGTGGGATGTCTAACAGTAAGTTGCAACAGCAGTCGCTTTTGGAAACAGAAGCCTCGAAGTCTGCAAGCGCCCAGCAAGTAAGGAGAGCTGCCTGCTCTCTTTGCTTCAGCGTCAGGTGCTTGCCTCTCTACGGGCTTCTTAGCCTACCGGCGGAGGCTACGCTTGGCCGTGCGCGTGCGGGACAGGTGCTTGCCAACACAAGGACGGCTCATGCAGTGTCAGTGCTCATATTTAATAAAGTGGATTTCAACTCATTTACTGTGATCCTGTCTAGAATCAGAGTACAGGAAGTAACTGATGAGACGGCGAAGGGAATTGACGCTCGCCTTCCTGCTTTGCCCAACTGCAGGTTTTGTTGGCGCGGAGAGCCACTACAGCAATCTCTACAAGGTTTCGTTTGAGAACATGGACGCCTACCTACAGAAGAAGGAGGAAAGGGTGAAGCAGCAGAAAAAGAAAAGGCAGGGTCTGCAACGTGGTTCGAATGGCCAGACAAAAAAGATGAAGACCGGAGAGTCGTCGCTATGACACAGTTTGTAACTTTTGCCTTGCTGAAGGGGACTGATCTGACTGAGGGCTGTTTTTACATGTCAGATGAATTATGGAGAAAGACTGGTTTCAACTTTTATTCAGATTCATGTTTTCAGGTAGCCTGATATGAAAATATCCAGCTTGCTGCAGATAATGCATTTCTCATATGCCTAAGCTTCTAGCAGCGTACAGGTGTTAGTGGTTCAGTCCTAGGAAGCTCTAATGCACGATATATGAATATTGGAGATGCTATTTTCCTCAGAA